CATGTTGCCCTCCAGCTCCTCTTCCACTTGCCCTGGCCATTTCTAGTCTAGAAGTCCTCACTCCTCTGCCCCCTTGCTAAGCTTCATGCCTCCACCTGGTCCTCTGTCCCCCTCTCCGGCTCAGCCCAGCTTTCTTCTGGCCTTAGAAAGTCTCCACTTTTAGAAAGTCTCCACTCCACCTTAGAAAGGCTCCTCATTGAGCCCTGGCCTCCCTGAGTCTGCCAGTCCCTCAGCTCTCCTCCCACCTCCTGCAGGACCCACCTTCTTCAGATGCCTCTATACCTCGGCCTGGCGTGTTCTGTGGACTTTTTTCTCTAGGTCTCAGGGGCCCCTCTCCTGAGCTTCTTTTCGGATGCTGGTGGCAGCAGGCTGTCCCATTCTGGGGAGCTACATTATAGTTTCTCTCCCCTTTTCTTCTCTGTTTCCTGCCATTCCCCTTCATACTCCACTCAGACCCCTTCCCAAGGGAGGCCCTTGGGGAAATCTCTAAATTTTGTATGGACCAGAAAAACCTCCCTTTCTCTTATTTCTTTCCCTTGCCTCCCTCTCTCCATCCCTGGGCCCCTTCCTTTTCTTTGCACCTTCCTCCGTATTCTTCTTTCTCCAGGGGGACTCACTCACCTCCCTTTCTCCTTCTGCAAGCCTCCTCTGTCTCCCAACCCATTCTCCTCCTTCCTCACCTACCCTTTCCCACTGCTTCCATCCTTAGATCCCCTTTCCTCCTTCCCTAGGCCCCATTCCAGTGCTGTGTCTTTTCCTCTTCCTGTCCACTTCCCTCCTCCTTTCCCCAGTGAGTTCCTCCCCCTCTGTGGGCCTCAGTTTCCCTTACCTTACCTCCTTTATCCTCAGGTTGTAAGGGAGACACAAGACTGGGGACACAGACACAAAGATGTCTTCACACGCACACTCACACAGAGAGGTGGCCGCAGACGGACAGACAGACACATGGCATGAGGGAACGTGTGCGTCCATCTAGACGTGCATTCAGATGTACACACGCAATTAAGAGTAGCCATAACTTACAATGTATTTTTTAAGATTTTATTTATCTGAGGGGTGCCTGAGTGGCTCAGTGGGTTAAGCCTCTGCCTTCGGCTCAGGTCATGATCTCAGGGTCCTGGGATCGAGCCCCACATCGGGCTCTCTGCTAAGCGGGGATCCTGCTTCCTCCTCTCTCTCTCTGCCTGCCTCTCTGCCTACTTGTGATTTCTCTCTTTGTCAAATAAATAAAATCTTAAAAAAAAAGATTTTATTTATTTGAGAGAGAGTGAGGAGAGAGAGAGAAGGTGCATGGGGAGGGGCAGAGGGAGAGGGAGAAGCAGACTCCCTGCTCAGCATAGGGCTCCATCCCAGGACCCCGGGATCATGACCTGAGCCAAAGGCAGACGCTTTACCAACTGAGCCCCCCAGGCACCCTGATAGCTCACAATATACTGCACTTAGTATATACCAGCTACTGTTACTCATACACACATCTCTGGAATGCGAACAGGTGGAATGAGGAGGGAGCGAGAGCTAAGCGTGCAGGTCCCTGGCATGGGCGCTGCACAGCCAGCCACAGACGCCGCCTCACTCGGACCCGCGTGCCCAAACACTTCCCACAGGAATCCAGTACTGCGGGAATTGGGGCTCCTTCAGAAGCAGGGGCATGCACGTTCTCCCCGTGTTGTGGGCCATGTACGTGTACATCTGTGTGTGTGTCTGGTGGCTGCCTCAAGCCTCGTGAGCTCTGGACTCAGGGCTGTGCGTGGAGCCCTTGAGAGCAGTTAGGGCACCTGTCCACACAGCTTGCTCAAGGCTCCTTCTGGATCTGCCCCTGGTGTGTGAAGTCTTCCTCGGGGTGTCCTGGGTAATTAAATGGCACCTTTCATACACCGGCCGCGGAGCACCCCCGCTCTACATACTGTCCAGTGAGTGTCTGAGGACGACTTGGTGTGTACCTGGTAACAGTTTGGGATCGTGAACATCGGTACCTTCGTGTTGTGTGAACTCACCATATATGTAATTTTTTTTTTAAGATTTTATTTATTTATTTGACAGACAGAGATCACAAGTAGGCAGAGAGGCAGGCAGAGAGAGAGGAAGGGAAGCAGGCTCCCTGTTGAGCAGAGAGCCCGATGCGGGACTCGATCCCAGGACCCTGAGATCATGACCTGAGCTGAAGGCAGCGGCCCAACCCACTGAGCCACCCAGGTGCCCCATATATGTAATTTTTAAAAAAGATTTTATTTATTTGACAGAGAGAGAGATCACAAGTAGGCAGAGAGGCAGGCAGAGAGAGGGGGGGAAGCAGGCTCCCCGCTGAGCAGAGAGCCTGATGCGGGGCTCGATCCCAGGACTCTGAGATCATGACCCGAGCTGAAGGCAGAGGCTCAACCCACTGAGCTACCCAGGAGCCCCACCATACATGTAATTATCACGTACTTGCTCCTTCATGCTCCCACCATGTGTGGGTTCTTTGAGTGCTGCTGGGGGTGAGGTAGAGAACGGGATCTCCTCGGCCCTGGTCCTGGCCTGGAGCTTCCCTTCTAACAGGCATCGGGGTGCGTGTGCACAAGCAGTGGGCTGCTCCAGACTCTGTTGGGCACACTCATCGCCTGCTCTGTGTTCCTTCTTGGTCTTTCCAGAGTCCTTCCAGGTTCCAATGTTGTCATGACACACACCTTTTTTGAGTTCCCTCCTTATTAGCGGGACCCTGTGCCTCTGTAGGCAAACAGCGTGGGTACTGGTTATATTTACTTGTGTACTATGTGCTCTCTGGGGCTCCAGAACCTGCTCATGGGTATCTGTCACGTGCCTACCAGGGAGGTCCTCATATTACGGGTGTGCCTACTTTATAGGCACGGGGCATAAGGGTACTTCCTGTGTTTATTTACATGGTGAGCGCAGTGTGGGTCCTGGGGAGCTGCTTGTTATGTGGCTCCGTGTCCCTAATGTTCATGCCCTCCAGGTCCTGTGTGCCTGGTTCGTGTGCAGGCATTTCCCGTCCTGATCTGTGTAGTGCAAAAGGGAGTGCGGGGCCCTGCTCTGTGCAGGGGGCGGGTGTTACTAAGGGGTTCCACCACTCCGTCATCATGTGCTGCCTCAGTCCCCTGTACCTACTTGGTATGCACACGGGATAGGTCTTTCTTGCACTGACCTGTGTTGTGCACACAGTGTGGGTCCCAAGAGGCTGCTGAGTACAGGGGTTAGGAGGTAGTTCCGAGCCTGTTACGCACCGCACATGTCCCGTGTACTTACTTTGTACGCCCGCGGGGTAGGTGTTTCCTGTATTTATTTCTGTTCCGCGCTTGCAGCGTAGGTCCCTGGAGCCTTCTCGGTACACGTGGGCAGTCGGTGATTCTCGTGTTTCTCTTACACACATGTCACCAGGGTCCCATGTATGCCCACACAGTCTGCACGGGGCAGCAGCTGGGTGGGTAAAAAAGCGTCATCGGGCAGCCGCGCAGCCCCGCCGAGCTGAGACTCCGCGATGCTCCTCCTCCTCCTTCCCCCAAATCCGGTCAGGTCTGGGTACCACTCACAGCCCCATCCTCCTCCCCGCAGTGCAGTGCAGCACCCCCCTCTGACTTGGGGTGGGAGCCACTTGCCCTCCCCAGACCCAAGCCCACCTTCCCCCTCAGTCCCTCTTTCCTTCCTCTCCCTCTCAGCTTTACTCTGCCTGGTACAGGGGAGGTGCTCACTGAGCGGACACTGCCTTCTTCCCTCCCTTCCCCTTCTCATCTCCACTGTTCTCTCCCCTTGGGTGCTCCCCTAGACCCACTTGTCACTCTCCTGGTCTCTGCTCTCCCCCCAGGCTGCCTCTTTCTGCCTTCCCTAGGCTCTCTTTGTCCCCCCTTCCTCTTCTTAGTTTCAATTTCTGATTCTTCATCTGTCTCTTGCTGTCTCTGTCTTGTATCTTCCCATGGATCTCTGTCCACCAGAAAGCCTCTTCTGGTGTCTGACTGTCTCCGTCTCACCATCTCTCTGTCTCTTTCAGTGTCTCCTTCCCATCTCCTGCAGTCTCTGTCCCTATCACTCGTGTTTCTCTGCTCAGAACTTTGACTCTCAAAATCTCTGTTTTTGCTGTCTCTCACTCTCTGTCTTGGCCTCTGTGTCTCTCTTTGCACATTTCCTTCTTTCTTTCTGTTTTTTTAAGTTGTCTTTCAGAATCCCTGTTTCTCTGTGTTTCTGTCTACCTCTCACTAATCTGTCTCCTTGTCTGCTTCTGTCTCTCTGTCTCTCTCTCTGTGCCTTCTTCCCTGCCTCTGTCTCCATATCTTTTGGTCTCTGATGTGTCTTTCTGGCTTTGCTCACCCCCCCCCCAACAATGGCTCTTTCTTCATACTCCCTGATTCTGCATGTTTCTTTTATCTCCGTGTCTATCTCTCTGTGCCTGTCTCTCTGTCTCTGTCTTCCTGTCTCTGTATCTCTCCCACTCTGTCTGAATGTAGCTCTTTCTCCTATCTCTGATTCTTGTATATCTATATCTCTTATCTCTGCATGTCTCTTTGAGTCTCTCTCTCTGTATCTGTATCTATAGATATAGATATAAAACTCTATCCCCTGTATGTGTGTCTGCTCTGTGGCTGTCTTTCTGGTCCTTCATCTCTTTTCTCTGTGCATGGACCTCCTCTCCTTATCTCTTTGTCTCTGAGTGTCTCTGTGAATTTTAGTCCCTCTCTGCTTTAGTGCCTCTGTTTGCCGCTCTCCACCTCCCTTTATCACTCCCTGCACTGAGCCTGTGTTTATGTTTCAGTGTATCTCTGATATCTCTCTGCCTCTTAGTCTCTCCCGGCTCCGTACCACTGTCTCTCCCTTCTCCCTTTCCTCCCCGTCTCTGTGTCTCTAGTGTCTCTTTGAGGCCTCTCCCTGCCTTGAGTCTCTCTCTGCTCCCCAACCCTCTCTTTCTGTCCCTGGGTCTGTATGTTTCTGTGTATCTCTGTGTGTATCTCTGTGTCTCTGTCTCTGGGCATCTCTTTGTCTCTATGAGTCTTTCCCTGCCTCTGTGTCCTCTGTGCTCCTGTCCCTCTCCCTTTTCTCTTTTCTCCCTGTCTCTGCACGTCTCTCTGTTCGTGGGTGTCTCTATGCCTCAGGGTCCCTCTCTGCCTTTGAGTCCCCCTCTGCTCCCCACCCTCTCCCTTTCCCCTCTGTCTCTTTCTGTGTCTCTGTGTCTCTTTGTGTCTCTGTGTATCTCTGTGCATCTCTGGGCTTCTCCTTGTCTCGGTGTCCCCCTCTACTCCCTGCCCCTCTCCCCTCTCTCTGTCATTGCGTCTCGGTTTCAGCCTATCTCTGCATATCTCTGCCTCGCTCCATCTCTGCGTGTCTCTGTGTCTCTGTGGGTCTCGGGCCTCTCCCTGCCTCCGTGTCCCCTGCGCTCCCCGCCCTCTCCCTCTCCCTCTCTCCCCCCTCGCTCTCTCGCTCGCGCTCTCTCTCTGAGCATCCTTGGGCCCGGGGTTGCCATGGGGACAAGGTGGGAGCCGGGGATGGCGCGCGCCTGGGCTCGCGCCGGCAGCTCAGGCGAGGAGCAGCGGCCAGAGCAGCGCCAGCAGCAGGCAGCGAGCGGGCGCGGGAGCGGGAGCGGGAGCGGGGGTAGCGTTGGCGGCGGCGGCTCCTCCTCGGCCATCCCCTCGGAGCCGTGCAGCTGACGCGCATGGCGAAGACAGCGGCGCCTACCGATGGGAGCAGCGGTAAGGCAAGGCGGCGCGGCGCAGCCGGGCGGGCGGGCGGCGGGCAGCCTCCTCCTCTCCCCAGCTCGCCTGCGCGCCCGCCCGCCCGCCCGCCCTCCCTTCCTCCCTCTCCCCTCGCAGCCCCTGCCCGCCCGCCCGCGCCGCGCTCGCCCTTCCATTTAAAAATCTTTAAAACTTTGCATATTAATATCTGCGCTTTGCATAATCTGACCCGCGCTTTATTGATTGCAAGAAGCTTAATGCAGCCGGCTCGGCCTATTGCAGAGAGCTCTCCGGGCGGGAGCCGGGCGGGCGCCGCTCGCTCGGCACCGCGCTCGGGCTGCCCGCCGCCGCTGCGGCCCCGGCCCTCTCGCTTTCCTCCCGGCGCCCGGCGTCGGGGCTTTGCCCCTGGCCGGATATTTTTATTATTTGGGGGCGAGAGTGGGGTGGCTTGCTGTCGGTGGCGGCGAGGGAACCAAAGGAGATGTGCGTGGTTGGTGGGGGGGGGGGGGGGGGAGGGGAAGAAAGGGGGGGGGGGGGGGGGGGGGGGGGGGGAGAAATGGGGACGGAGAGGAGGTGAAGAGGGAGAGAAAAAGGGGAGAAGGGGCAAGCAGGATGGGGAAAGGAGAGGCGTGGGGCGGGAGGCCGTAGAGCGGAGAGAGCGCAGTGACTGAGGACGGAGCCGAGAGGACGGAGGAGCGAGCCGAGACAGAGAAGAGAAAGGAGGGAGGCGAGAGCAGCGCGGAGAGAAAGAGCCGACGGCCGGGAGCTGGCGACGGAGAGACCAGGCGGTGGGCGCTTCGTCGCTGCCGCCCCCAGGCAAAAAATAAAGAAAAAGAGAAAAACAATAATACCAATAAAAAGCCGATGAAAATAAAAACACATCGCAGCCGGGGCCGTCGTATACAAAAAGGAGCGAGTGCAGAGAAGAGAGGCGAGGCGGCATCCGCTCCCGGCTGGCTTTGGCGCTTTGGAGAGGCTTCCCGGGCTGGGCGGGATCCCCATTTTTGACCCTGTATTTGGGGAAGGGGCGACTGTGGAGAAAATGAGGCGAGAGGGGTTCAGAGCTGGTGGTGGTGCCGCCTGCTTTTTTTTTTTTTTTTTCCTCCCTTTCCTGGGGGGGGGGGGGCCGGTTTAGTGTGATGATGGTGAGGATATTGGTTGCTGATGCTGTCTGAAGCTCCGGGAGCAAGCAGGGTGCATGGGGGGGGAGAGGTAAGAGGGCATGGGGGACCAGAACGGGGTGGGGATGGAAATGAGGGGCAAGAGAAAGAAACGGGGTGCTCGGGACTGCCGGCAGGGTGGGAGATGGGAGAGGGAGCAGCTAGGATGGGGCGCAGAGAGGCGGGGGCATTTCTGGTAGGAGGAGAGGTGGGAGCGGAGCTCCAGGGCCGGGGAGTGATGTTGGGGAGCTAGGGTACACCCCTCAGCTCTCTGGGCAAAGTCTGTAACTTGGGGAACCCCTCCTGCCTCTATGCTCCCTTCTCTTTTCTTCCTCTCCTGTCCTCTCTCGCCTGCTTTTCCTCCATCCCCTTGCTGGTTCTCTTTCTCCCTGTTTTCCAGTTTGTCTCTTCCTCCTCTTAATAAAAGCTTTCTCCTCCCCACTCAGTTTTTCTTTTTTTTCCTATCTTCTTTCTCTCCACCCCTTCCTTTCTTTTTCCTCTCTTTTTTCCCTCCCCCCTTACCCTTTTCTTTCATTCTTCCTCCTGGCCACTCATTTTCCCTGTTTCCCTGTCCTTTCTATCTCCTCCCTCACTTTCATTTATTCATCACTTTGGTAGCATTGGCCTTGAGCAGGGTGCCAGGGAGAGGGGCTCTTTGCACAGACAAGAATCCCCTGAGTTCCCACCTAACCCCTATTCCATACCCCCAAGTATTTCTACAGTCTTTTTTCCCTGCTGGGGGCCTGGGTCTGCCCTGGGGTTCTAGCGCCACCCCCTATTTCCTCTGGCTTCCTAGAGAAGTCCCGCTGGATGCTCACTGGGGCCATCAGAGGGGGAGGGGAATGCCTTAAGTGAGGGCTCATGGCTGTGGACTCAGCCCCACTGAGAGAGAAGGGTGTGGACACAGAAGAAAATGACAAGGATGGCTAGTGGGAAGTGAAAAGCGGAGAAAATGGGGGGGTCCATCCGAGAGGGTCCTTAGAGCTTCTGAGTCCCAGGTAAAAGGTCCTAAGAGAAAGCCTCTGGCCTGCTGACCACTCCCCGCTTTCTCCCTAGCTCCTGGGGCCTGCGGGGTTGGGGAGCAGGTCCTGGATGTAGAGAAAGACCCAATGAGCCGCCTAACTCTGTAGATTTTAGTCTCTTGCTGTCTTGTCTGGTGGATTTGGTGACTTTGCCCTCCTCCCCCAGGATATGAGAATATAGCGTCATTGCGCAGGGTGGGGGGGGCTGGTGTCCAGACTCAGACCATGCGGATGTGTGTGTACAGGACTGTGTGGCCCGTGTGAGTTGCAAGAGGTGTTCAGGATGGACTGACTGTATGCAGGGTTCAGGAGCTTGGGCAGAGCGAGGAGCCAAAGCTGTGGAATCACGACATGTGTGTTCAGCAGGGGGCTGGGTACTGGGGTTCCCCATTGTGGGAAGTACACGCATTTATCCCGGTTCTTCCCTTGTCTGGACGTTCAGGAGCCCCTCGCTGAGTGTGCACTTGGGAGGTGCTTGCTCGGTCTGTGCATGGCAGCCATCCACACGTGTGCAGCTCTGTGTGCCAAGCCTGGCATCGGCAGTGGGTGCGTCAGGGCGTACATGCAGCGTGGTTGGAGTAGAGGTTCTGCGTGTGTGTACTAGGTCCAAACGTGGTGCGTGCACACGAGGATCTGTGTTAAATAAAGTCACGTGTGAAAGCACTGTTGCCGCGCAGAGCTATTATTATTGTTGTTATTACTGTTGTTTTTGTTAAGGGTCTCGGTGGGCCCTGGGTCAGGGGGAGGGTGGGTTTATGAAGCAGGGTCTGGGTGCAGTGATGGAAGACTGCGCACAGAGGTCATCAGCGTACGGGTGGGCTTGGCATGTTTGCACAGCAACCTTGAATCTGGGTTCGAGAAAACAAAACAAGAAAAAATGCCCCCTCCCTGAGTCAGCCAGGCCACAGAAACCTTTCCTGGCTCTTCCCTGGTAACAAAGCGTCCCATGTCAGGGGGTGGCAGGCCGGGCAGGAGGGAAGCAGATCAGGGCTGCAGTCTGCATCTCTAGTCGCTGCTAACGCAGTTTTGTGTCTACTTCCTGATTTCTGGGTGATGCTGGACAGAGGCCCATTTGTGCCCATCAAGAGGTCCAGATCTCCATCCCCATTTCCCTTAAGCTACTGGCCAACCCTCTGGTGGGTTGCAGTGTTGTTTTGGGGGGCCTTGGTTACCCTTACTTCCCTCTGTCAGTCTTTGCGGGGAAAATGGAGGGTGTCTGCGACAGGGACCGTTGTAGGGAAAGAACTTGGCCACAGTGTGTTTGTGTGTGTGTGCACGCGCGCCCACACCCATACTGTGTGTGTCATAGAGGTTAGCCTATATATCCTAGACAGCATGCTGGCCAGATCTTATTTTCCAGCAGATCCATCAGTGGCCACCTCAGGCCACCTCCTTCTGGGCTCGTACACACTAGCTCTTTATACGTAGGGGTGACAGGCCAGAACCCCTTCTCCCACTAGTGTGACAGCCAAGCAAGGGGCCTCAATCTCAGCCCCGACTGGGTAGGGCTTGTCAGATCTTTGGCTCATAATCCTAATGTGGGGGGCGTGATGCAGTCCTGGGGCACAGATGGCTGCACCAGGGGCTGCTTGGACGTTGATGGGGGAAAGGGAGCAGTTTCTGTGTCTGATGTGAGCTGGTTAATTTCCAGGATTTGTTTTCAGCATTGAAATGCTTGAGAAACCTGGGTATGGAGAATTATTCGAGGAGAAAGTGAGTGTCGGGTCTCTTCAGACTGGGCTCTGTTCTTTCTTCTAAATATGTATCACTCATCATTTTCCCCTTGGGCCCAATACCTCCTGAGCTAATAATAATGATGATGATGATAAGCATCTTACACCCACCTAGCTCTAGAGAGCAGCCCTGGTGATGCCCCTTTCACAGGTGAGAGTTTGAGGTCCATACCATCCTCCTGGTCTCTAAGCTACTGAGTCATGATAGCAAGGAGGCCTTTGGACTCTTGCTACCAAGCTTGGTTTGTCCTTAGAGGTCTGTCCCCTTCCCTTTAGCTGTCCCAGCACCATATCCTTTCTCAGGCTTGGCCCCTTCCCTGCTTACTCCCTGCTGCCTGAGCCGTCCATCTACAGACCTGTCTCCCAGGACCTGCCAGGTGGATGGATGCCTTACGTGACTCAGTGAGGGCTTCAAGGACCTGGGTCTCACTTTGTATCTCGAAGGGAAAGTTGGCACAGGAGTGAGGTTAAGACCCATTCTGTTGGTGACAGTTTGGGGCTGGGCCTGTTCAAAGACAGGGGTACAGATGAGCTTACCTACCTCCCCCAACACCTGCTGGTGAGCCCCAAGCTGTACAGCTACTTTCCCGATGCACATGGTGGCCTCACAAGGCAGACGCACTTCCGTCACTTGCCCACAGCCTCGCTTTCAGCAAAGGCTCGGAGCAGGCAGCTTTTCCAGCTCCGACAGTCAGAAGGAGCCTGGAGGTGGTGCCCCCACATACTAGGTCCCCTCATTCGATGGGTATTTATTGAGCAGAGTGAGTAACTGCGAAAATGAAGTACAGTTCCCTGGGGTATTCAGGTGGTCACTCCTTCATGGCAAACAATTATTGGACACCAACCACAGACTCTGGAGTAGATCCCGTCCCAGCCTTAGACAAGATTCCAGTGCCTGGCGTGTGAGCTCGAGGTCACTGGGAATCTGGACAAGGAGGGAGGTGTGGGTTTAAACTGGGAGTTGGGTCTCTGAGGATGCTCAGGCATGAAGGAAGTGGGAGAGCCAGGAGGGCAAAACGCTGGCAGAGGGGACCTGGGGAGGACACAGCCCAAGTTGGGGGTGTGGCCCGAAGAGCAGAGGTTTGCCTGAATGTCGCAGGGCC